TAACAGAGTTTGTACATATCACATTTGTATTTCTTTCTGATGTGTCACCTTAATATTTACCTTTATATATTTTCTTACTGCTCATTTAATTTGGTTGTTCCATACAGTTGGTAATGCTGTCTATTCCAATACCCTATGGAATTCAGGTCTCCACTGTCCCATTTTATCAGATCTTGGCAGGATCAAGAAAACTGTTCTCAAAAATGAATACTTCTTGGGTTAGCTAGTGGTGTGGAGGTTAAAGTGTTTTGTTCCCATATGGCCAAACTGTAGTTTAAGTTATGAACACTTTGGCATAAAAACACACACTGGGCATGTGCATGTGCATACCAAATATCCCAATAAGAAATGGTCCAGAAGTGATTGATTGCAGCAAGACCATTCCCGCAGGGAGTGACTTCCCACTTTCTGTCTCTTTGTACTCTCTCTCCTTCTGGCAATTGAGCAAATTTAAAAACAAAACAAGACAAAGCAAACAAACAAAAACAAAACAAAACAAAAAACATAAATAAATAACACGTCTCAATTGTCCTCTAAAATTACCTGAGCATTTTTAATCCAAAACAATTCATTTCAGTTCCATTCTTATGTCTGCTTTGCTTAGTATGTTTTCTCGAGTCTTCATTCTGATTCTTGGAATGTGAAAACATCAGCCTTGGGACCACCAGTTAGCAAAATGGCTATGTTGCTGGACTCCCATGTAGTTGACTGTGGTTTGAGTCCAGGACCTCGTGGCTTAAACTCACACCAGGCACGTGTGCATGCGTGCCCAAGATCCCAAGAGGAGATTGGCGAAGAAGGGATTGTGGCATGGCTATCTCCCCTGGGGGGTGATTTCTCGCTTTCTATCTTTCTGTCTCTCGCTGTCTTTCTGGTGAACGCACACATTCTACAGCAAAAATCTCTTAAAAAAAAAAAAAAAAAAAACCTCAGCCTTCTCTTACATGTGCCTGCTTGATTGCTTGATTCATCACAACCTATGTCTTTTTAAACACTGTCCTGGTAAAGAATTAATTAATTATCTTTGGGAAAGGCAAATTACATACTATTTCAAAATAGTTCTCCAGTCTGTTATAAATGTATGTATTTTAAATTGAAATAGAGAAAAAATTATAAAGACTCTTCAGTGCCTCCTGTTATTCCCAACCTGCTTCCCTCATTTATGATTATTCAACAGATACCCAAGATTTTTGTAGTCACTTTCTTATCACAATCTATTTTGAAGTAAAATCATATTTGATCTATGTGTTATGTTTTGTCCCTTTATTTATTTTTTTTAAATAATTATTTAACTTTATTTATTTATTTTATTTTAATTTGACCAGAGAGGGACAGATTGAGAGGGGGGAGATTAAGAGAGAGAGATAGAGAAAATGAGAAAGTGAGCCACCAGGTCCTGAACTCAAACACAGCCATATGGGGGTCCAGTGCTCTTAACCACGATACCACTTGCTTGTCCCTGTCCTTTATTTCTTTTTTTAAAAAAGAATTATTTTATTTAACTTTATTTATTATTATCATCATTCTTATTTTCTAGTTTGATCAGAGAGAGACAGAGAGAGAGAGAGGAAGTGAGAAAGCAAGCAACCAGGTCCGAGACTTGAACCGCGGTCGGCCATGTGGGAGTCTGGCACTTTTAACCACCATGCCACTTGCTGGCCCCTATTTCTTTCTTTCTTTCTTTTCTTTTTTTTTTGAGAGGTTTTTTCACTATAGGGTGCGTGCACTCATCAGACAGACAGAGAGAGACAGAGAGACAGAAAGCGAGAAATCACCCCCCAGGGGGGATGGTCACGCCACAATCCCTTCTCCATTCTCCTCTCGGGATCTTGGGCACGCACGCACACGCGCTCAGCGTGAGTTTTAAGCCACCGGGTCCGGGACGCGAACCACAGTCGACTACGTGGGAGTCCAGCGACATAGCCATTACGCTAACTGCTGTTTCCCCCCTATTTCTTTTTAAGACCAAACTTTTTTTTTTTTTTTTTAATGCTTAGGTCATGTGCTGTTCTTGAGATTTGTTTAAATTGTCATTGTCAGCAAATATATAAATAAACATTTATAGAGAGCTTTTAGTATTGAAAAAAATACACATATCCAGTTTATAAGTATTTTAATTACAAAAGATATTCATGATTTCTGCAAATCATGTACATTCTTTATCTTTTCTATTTCTCAAAGGCTATAAAATTACATATGTAATTAGTTGTTTACATTTTTATTTTTCTTATCTATTTGATTTGTTAAATATTAAGAATCCCCTCACTAATTCAATAATTATCATTACTCTATTTTCTTTTTTTGTTTTATAAGTTTTTTACTGTATGATCATTCAATGCTTACTGTAAGTTATTTATTGTTAGCAATTCTTATTATCTTAAATTATTTCTAAATCTAATTCTATATGATGTTTAGTCAATGTTTGTAAAGAATGAAATAAAATGTTTTACTTTATAAGTACTTTTAGATCACAACAAATCTTTTTTTTTTTCAGTACTCTACTCAAAGATAATTTGGCTAATATAGATATTTACCTACTTAATTCTAAATACTTTTTGAGCTGTCTAATAGTAATAAAAGAGGAAAAATGCAAACATTTTTGTTGCTATGTGGCTTTATATTTTCTGAGTAAAAATTCATTATTTCTTATAATCTGCATGTTATATTCTAAATGAGGTAAATACAAAGAAAAATAAAGTATATATAAAAAGATAAATGATGTATGTGCCAGTCAGTGGCAGGTGGTTTAGTGTGGTGGTAGTCCTGGACATGGCAACATGAGAAACACCCTCGTTCTGTGGGCATTTGTAACCAAATCCTGATAAAAGAATAGAGAAAAGAGATTATGGCATGGACATCCCCTCCAGGCAGTCATTTTTTTTTCCTCTCTCATTCTGTCTGCTATAATTCATCTTTTTTCTTATAGCAATCAGAAAGAAAATAAAATGGTGAGATGAAATCTTGCTTTATAACGATTCCATGACTTTTCTCCAGTCTCTTCAAATTATACGTGAATATTTAATAATTTTACATTTATTGTATTATAGGATTGTGTTATATAGAAATATTTATTTGAAATACACAATTAGTCCCAAGTTCACTACTGTTGTACAAGTGTTATTTATAAAACTCCATCTCCATTGAACTGCACTTTTGCAGAAATGGTTTCTATTGGGGGTCAGCAGATAAAGTAATGGTTACATTGCTGGACTACTACATAGTCACCTGTGGTATGAGTCCTGGACCTGGCTGCTTAAAACTCATGCTGGGCATGTGTGCACACGTGCCCAAGATTCTAAAGAAGAACAGAGAAGAAGCGATTGAGGCGTGGCCATCCCACCTGGAGTGGGGGGTTATTTCCCACTTTCTGTCTCTCTAACTCTTCTCTGTCTCTTCAAGTATGCATGCTGTACAGTTTTAAAAAAAAACTCTAAAAATTTAGATAAAGCTTTCTCTGAAAGGTCATTTCTAGGTCAAAATGGATGAATAAGTTTTAATGTAATCCAAGGACAAACTAGGTATTGAACTAGAAATTAAAATGGCTCACAACTACATGGAAATGAAATCTATGGTTCCAAATAAATGATATAGTAGTGTCTGGTTTATTAATACAATTGACTGTATCATAATAACCCTTATCAAAAGCCTTTACTGCAGGCCAGCTATGGTGGTACAGCAGTAATGCAATGCACTGCAGGGCTGAATCCATATAAGAAAGCCCTAGGTTCACGTCCCAAAGTCTCCCTGTATATGCTGGGTACACGTGTGTGTGATTTAGTCTGGCTGAGGCCGGAGGTGGATGGTAGCATGAAAATCCCATTACGAGGGACCAGCAGTTAGAGTAATGGCTACGTCGCTGGACTCCCATGTAGTCAACCGTGGTTCAGGTTCCAGTCCTGGACCAACTGGCTTAAACTCACACCAGGCACATGTGCTTGCGTGCCCAAGATCTCAAGAGGAGCATGGAGGAGAAGGGATTGTGGCGTGGCCATCCCCCCTGGGGGTGATTTCTCGCTTTCTGTCTCTCTGTCTCTGTCTTTCTGGTTAGCGCGTGTACCCTATAGCAAAAACCTCTCCAAAAAATAAATATAAATTAAAAAAAAACACAAAAATAAACGCATTATGTGTCCCCCTCATCTCTGTCTTTTTGTCTCTCCCTGTCATGGAAGAAACAAGCAAACTTTTAACAAAAACAATTGTAAAACATAAAGGTTTTATTTTTTTTCTTTTTTTGGAGAGGTTTTTGCTATAGGGCGCGTGTGCTCGCCAGACAGACAGAGACAGACAGAAAGCAAGAAATTACCCCCCAGGTGGGATGGCCACGCCACAATCCCTTCTCCTCATTCTCCTCTCGGGATCTTGGGCACGCACGCACACACACCCGGCGTGAGTTTAAACCACTGGATCCAGGACTCGGACCATGGTCGACTACGTGGGAGTCCAGCGACATAGCCATTACGCTAACTGCTGGTCCCAAACAAAAAGGTTTTATTGAGAGGAGACACCTCAATATTCTTAATGAGAATAAAATTATAGAATTAATGGACTTGCTATTTGCTGACACAGAGATAACTTGATAAATTGAGACAAAAGTGTCCAAAATACAGTAATTTTTTGAGAATTTATTTATTTATTTTTTGTATCGAGTGTGTGTAATCACCTGAGAGAGAGAAACAGAGAGAGAAAGTGAGAAATTACACCCATGGGGGTATGAACATGCCATAATCCTTCTCCATTCTCCTCTGGGGGATTTTGGGCATGCATGCACATACACCTAGTGTGACTTTCAAGTCACTGTATCTGTTATTAGTAAAACGGTCGATTACGTGGGAGTCCAGAGACGTAATCATTGTGCCAACTACTAGTCCCAGTACAAGTAATTTTTAATTTGGAAATAGTTACCACTCTTTAGACAGACAAGAAGTTGAATGAAGTATAAATTTTTTATGACATTTAATAAACTGATTCTTGCAAGTATAACCAGTTACTAATGAAACATATTATTTACATAGTAATTTTTTCAGTGCCATTAGGACATCCTTGTTCCTTAGACTATATATCACGGGGTTACACAAGGGAGTCACAATGGTATAGAAAAGAGAAAGCATTTTGTCTGTTTCTGTTGAGTCTTGGGTCTTGGGTCTTAAATAGGTAATAATACCTGAACCAAAGAACACAGCCACAACAAAAAGATGAGATGAACAGGTGGAGAAGGCTTTAGTTCTACTTGTGTCAGATGACAATTTCAGGATTGTGGAGATGATTTTGCCATAGGAGATAAGTATCAACAAAAATGGAGTAAAAACAAGCAACAGCGCTACTAGGTAGACCATCATCTCATTCACAAAGGTGTCTCCACAAGCCAACTTCAGTATTGGGGGGATGTCACAGAAGAAGTGGTTGATTAGGTTAAATCCACAAAATGGCAGAGAGAAAATCTGGAAGGTCTGCCCTATCTGGACTGGAACTACACTGATCCAGGAGCCAGCCACGAGGAGGGTGCAGACCTTGTGGTTCATGACTAGAGAATAGTGTAAAGGGTTGCAAATGGCCACATAACGGTCATAGGCCATCACTGTCAGCAAGAGACACTCTGTGCCTCCAAACATAATAACAAAACACATCTGCACAGCACAGGCAAGGAAAGAAATACGTCCTTTCTGAGTCCAAAGGTCCATGAGCATTCTTGGAAGAGTTGCTGTGACATAGCACATTTCCAAAAAGGAAAAATTACCCAGGAAAAAATACATGGGGGTCTGGAGAGCAGGGTCCAGTTTTGTTATCAGGAATATGGTGCCATTGCCCAACAAGATGATGATGTAGATGACAAAGAACAATCCAAACAAAACCCACTGGAGATGTGGAACCTCCGAGAAGCCCAGAAGAACAAATTCCTTCAATTCAGTTAGATTTTCTTTTGGTGATTTTTCTTGGTGTATCATCTATGAAAAGTTGAAACTTAGTGTCTTTTTAATCCTTTAACTGTCTTGACATTAACTACTTTCAAATGTGTTATCAAGATTTCTAGATTTGCTTTTACAATCAGTGCAATTCTTTCAATTACAAAATGTTACTATTTTTCTCTTCCATTTTCTCACTTTAGAGTCAATGAATTATTGCCATGAGAGTACCCTTGAATTTTCTTTAGGGCCACTTATTATACTTTCTTAAAGCATGCTGAGTAAACAAAGTCCAGTCCTTCTTTGATATCCAGGAAGGACTTTTTCAAGGATCCTTCTTAGATTCCAAAATTCCAGTACATTCCTGTCTCTTGTATAAAATGGAGCAGTATTTGAATATAACCATATAACCTGTGTACATCCTCCTATGGACTTTAATCTCTATATTATTTAAAATACCATACAATATAAATGCCATGCAAATGGTTGTTATACTGTATTGTTTTATTTGTATTATTTTAATTATCATTTTGTTATTTTTTACTTCTTTTAAATATTTTTCATCTGTAATTCGTTGAATACACGCAAGTGGAACCCATGGATATGAATGGTCAATACCACCTTATCCAGCACAGGCCCTGGAATTTGCAGCTGCAGTAGATAGACATCATTTGAGTTCACATTTGACTAACAATATTTCCTGCTGCATTTCTCTCTGCACTTTTCTATATTTTTGCAGTCAGTAGCACTATCACATGATTTTCTCCCAATGTACATTTTGAACTACCTATTTCAGCCCTTTCTCTCTTTCTCTTGATGAACTTGAACATAAATGATCCTATTATTTGTTTCATTTATTAGACTTTTAAATGAGAGTATTTTATTGTGTTTTGTTTTGATCACCAAGGAGAGACGGAGAGAGAGAAAGTGAGAAATTACCGTTCAGGAGTACAGTACATTAGGTGTTATACCACCTGCTGTCCCAGAATTATGTTTCTTTTGGCAGATACTAATAAAAAAAAGTCTGGTATTTCTTTTCTGGAAATAAGAGAGAACTAATTCACCTGGAATCAATACGTGGTAAAAATGATGTAGAGTGAATTCATTGCGTGAGTGTATTTACATGGGCAAGGGCAAGGGAACGTGGCATTTTTACCTTGTCCAATGTGGCACCACCATCTTCTGTTTTTCCATAAAGCCAGTTTTTGGAGAACCTTAGTTCTTTTCTCCTCCATCCCCACAAATATTTATTATTTCTCCTTATTGAGAATGTGTAAATGTTATCACTTCAGTTTTACTTAGAGAAGAGTACATTTAGACTCACTCACAATGGTGAATAACTTGACCAATTGTTTTTAGGTTTGTGATTGCAAGACAGGTGCTTTTTCTTTATTTGTTTTAAATCCTTTTGTCATAGTTTATTTTCTGAGTCACATTAAAGAATTATTTAAACTTCAGGTTTTTTCATTCATTTATGAGAATTCAATTAGACCTTATTGATAAAATTTCCCCAACATTGTTGGTTTTATATGAATTAGATAATGTAATACATGTTAAACAAATTCAAGTTGCCTTGACCTTTACAGAGAGTGTACACCAGTGCTAGTTATTGATATTATTATTAAAAACTAAAATGCATCTTCTGAATTTTACTTAGTGTTCTACACAACATTAAAAGATATTTTTGGGGGCCAGTGTTTGGCATCATGGTTGAGGCACTGGACTCTCATGTGGTTGCCTGTAGTTTGATTCCTTGTCCCAGTGGCTTAAAACATGCCAGGCACATATACGTCTTGAGAGGAGAAAAAGGAAGAAGGAATTGTGGCATGGCCATTTCCCTTGTGGGGTGATTTTTCTCTTTCTGTCTCTCTGTCTCTCTCCTTCTCTTCTTTATAGCAAAAATCTCTAAAAATAAAGAAGATATTCTGTAATTAACTTTTAGTTTGTATCTTTGTATCACATGATTACTGTGAGAAGAGAGAGATCCTAAGGCAATCACTAAATGTTAAAACCCTAAATAATTCAGTTCTCAAGTTGAGAATTCTTCATTAATTGTGTGCCAGTATCTTTGTTCATTTTATCATCTCTATTTTGTAGATTCTACCACCTATAATATTCAATACTATCCAGCCCTGGTTTTTCAATTTATATAATTGCTCTTATTCCTTTATTTCACTGTCACTAAATAATCTGAGAAGTAACTTACGTGTATATTTTCTACTTAGGATCATTACAGACCCCAGAATGTGGCTGTGCACTTCTTCATTGATTCTTCAATGAAGAAATCCTTCAGGCACTATTTAACTGAAATTATCTCTCTTAAAGGGAGAAAAGAATTAGTACATGAGAGAATAACAGCAGAAATCCAGTATTTATGTGTCACTTTAAAGACAGGTGGCATAAGGAACCAGCAGTTAGCGTAATGGCTATGTCGCTGGATTCCCACGTAGTAGACCGCAGTTCGCGTCGCGGACCTGGTGGCTTAAAATTCACGCCGGGCGTGTGTGCGTGCATTCCCCGATCCCGAGAGGAGAATGGAGGAGAAGGGATTGCGGCATGACCATCTCCCCTGAGGGGTGATTTCTCGCTTTCTGTCTCTATGTCTCTCTCTCTGTCTCTCTGGCCACGGTCCCCTATAAAAAAAACTTCCCAAAAAAAAAAAAAAAAAGACAGGTGGCATTAATATAAATAATCTTACCCATTAATTATATCATTATGTCTATATAAATTCTAATTATATAAATTCAACTTTGGTGACTGAGTTATCAGATTGCAATATGAAATACATAAGATTTGTGTATGGTTTTTGCAGCAGAGGGACAAAGTAGAAAGAGTAGATAGAAATTGAGCCAGCCATGGCAGCACAGCAGTAAAGCAATGCACAACTACTAGAATTCTCACATTGGTGTCCTAGGGACCCGCTGCACACCCAGGGTGTCTATAAGCCCATGACCTGGGCGGGCTAGGCTACTGGCGGATAGCGAGATGAATATTCTGTTGAGGTCTCTTTTTCTCTCTCTCTCTTTATCTATCTGTATCTATCTATCTGTCTATCTATCTACCTATGTCTTTATGGACAAAAACAATAAGTAAGCCTTAAAAACCTAAGAGCACATGTCAAGTCTGTACACTTTCACAATATACATTATTCCTCTTTCTTGTAAATATTTTATTTCTTATTAATCAAGGAAATAAGTCACTATTACAATATTTTAAACTTTTGTACATTTACATATTTTATTTTTAATAATTTCTTATTCAAATTTAATTGCTGTACATCTTGTGGGATACGATAAGGTTTTTCAAAGCACTCATTTTTTGTGATAATGTAATGACGAATATTACCACATTTACCATCTTCAGTAAAGAACATTACATTATGCTGTGTGCCAACGATTTACATTTACATATATAAAACCTATATATATATACATATATATATATATATATATACCATTGAGAGACACAGATAAGGAGAGAGAGAGAGAGAGAGAGAGAGAGAGAGAACAGTCCTTAAAAGGGTCTCACACTGTGATCCCTTCTCCAACCCTAATAGCCTTCCCATCTAGTCGGGATCCTGGACACATTTTCATGGCTTATGCAGGTCAACCTGGGACCCAAACTCACGATTTTCCTTATATATTCAGCACTGTTTCAGTAGTGCATTGCTGCTGTGTTATTTAGCCAGCCCTCTAATAAGTAAAATAAATAACTTTTACAAAATATTCAAGCTTCTGTCATTTGGAAAAATACAAATGAATTAGTCACCTTCAACATCTGCAATATACTGTAATATACTGTAATATGTTTGCATATTTAATGTAGGTCAACAATGTAACCATGAAATCAGCATCAAGATCAATTGAAGTGAAAATTTTCTTTCATTATTTTAGAAGTACTAAGTTTTATGAAAAATTTATTTTTTTTGAAGCAAGTTTTCTTTTATTATGGTTAAGATTTTATCTAACAGATTGTTTTATTTTAAATCTTTCATTGAAATAGCATTAAGACTAAAACAAAATATAATGCTAACTTCTTAAGTCTTTACTTAAAATGATTATTCTTATTACTCTTTATTTATAAAACTATATCATTTATTTAATATTTTAGTATTTCAATATGATATAATTATTATAAGTGATATTTAATAGAAGAGACATATATAGTATAAAATCTATATTAATAAAATAACACATAAGCTATGATATATTTAATACTACTAGCTTTAAATGGAAAAATATTATGAATTAAAACTTGATATTCATATAAAATAGTTCACATTTACCTTTTTCTTTGGAATGATGGTTATTTTTTCTCATTGTATAAGGTTTAAATATTTAACTATTTTTTTTATATAAAACCACATGTAAAATCAAAGATATCCAAGCCACCCTTAAAATAGTCTGTTCTTTCCTAAAATAAAGTACTCTTTTTCTACCCCAGGGATCATTTCTACTTGACACATTTAATTTCTAATTAGAAGAGTCTTTGGCACTCTCTGATTCAATTTCTTTTTCCTGTTAGCTCTCACTCTACCCAGAATACTTTGTCTTCAACCTCTCCATGGAATTTAATGCAAGCAGATTTAACTTTTTAGACATGAATAGAGTGTCCAGTAATACTATTTGAGGCCATCTGACATTTAATTCTCATGCGTACCTATTATAAATTTTCTATATGGAGACTCTCTTCTTTTTTATACTGTCCTCTAATTATACTTTCCTAAACATGTTTTTCTTATATTTTTCTCTGTAATGACTCCTTGATCCATACCCAGGGGTTGACCTATGTAACAATTGTAGTAAATGGTCTGATGACAAGGAACATTTTTATCTGTTAAACTCGTATTTTATTGATACCTTCCTAGGCACCAGAGCAACCTGATAGGTAGCAGTTGGATCAATTATACATAGTCCAAAAATTAATTTTGCACACAAAATTAACATTAGTAGCATGCAATTTATTTCTCTTTTTCTTTTTCTTTTAATATAGAGCGCATGAGCTTGCTGGAGACAGAGAGACAGAAACAGAGAAAGAGGAAA